GTGCACCCATTATTGCACTTCCTCTTCGTAAATCGTCACTACACCGCCCCTCCTTACACCGTTACTTCTGCTGCCGACGCCTGTTCTCGGCTGACGCCTGTTCTCGGCTGTTCCCTGAAGGACTGTTTCCCCTTCTCTGTTCACCTCTGGGCTCTCCGCCCTGCGTGTGCTCGAGCCTGCTGCTGGGGTGGCCTGGGCCTCCCAGGGGACTGTCCACTCTGGAGGGATGGGGGGAGTCTGCAGGGGTGCCGGGCACATGCTCCATGCCCAGAACAACACCTGCCCAGGGGGTGGGGGGCCCCACAGGGACCCCTCCCTGGCGGGGACGGTGAGGGGAGGGTGTATCTGAGGGTGGGGACCCTGGACATGTGAGCACATAGCCTTTCTCGGGGAAGGGGACCGTGACGCGCTAGTGACCACCTGCTGGATGACTGAGCCTCTGCAAGGCTTTGTAGGGACGGAAGCGCCACACACGGGGGTAGCCTCCCACCCTGCAGTGCCTGGAAGCCCTGACTCCATGCTGCTGCCCGCGGCCTCCTGCTCCCTCATGGCCACTGTGACCGGAATTCGACAAATTGCCTCCATGTCTCCTCCGCCCCGGCAGCCTGCATGGCCATGGCAGGGGGGCGGGGTGGCGGTGCTGGGGGCTGGCTGTCCTTGGCAGGGATGATTAAACGCTGAGGCCTGGTAATCAGGTGGGGGGCTGTCCCCGCATCTGCCTGGCCTGGCCCTGATTAGCCCTAATCTAGGAGGCACATGTCGGTCTTAAGCTTGTATTCTGGGTCATTTCCACTGATGAAGCAATGGGAAGCCCTGCCTGCTCCACTTTCAAGGGCTGAAGTTCTCCTGGTGCCCAGAGACCAGCCAAGTGACAGGATTCTCTGGGGGACTTGGAGTCACAGCCCGTCCCTGACTTCCACAGGGCGCTGGGGGAGCCACGAGGCCGTGTTCCCTCTCACAGATGACAAGACACAGACTTAGCTTGGCCTCAAGATCTTAGCACCCCAGTCGCTCAAAGCTCTAAGAACCTTAGGGTTTATTCAACACCACATATGGTCCCGAGTCTGCCAGGAGTGATCCCTGAGCACAGAGCCAGGAGTAAGCCAATTATTATCATTATTTTTGGTCACTTCGGATTTACTGTGGAGTAAATCCAGACCTCATCTCCAGCACACTAAACATGCACTCCATGGGGGCTGGAGCGATAGAACAGCGGGTAGGGCACTTGCCTTGCACGCGGCTGACCTGGGTTTGATCCCCGGCATCCCACATGGTCCCCCGTGCCAGGGGCAATTACTGAGAGCAGAGCCAAGAGTAAGCCCTGAGCATCACTGGGTGTGGCAAACAAACACACACCACTCCAGCCTTTTAATCTATATCCCTGGCCCCGGTAGAGCAATTCTTAAAAATTTTAGAGGGGCTGGGACCGTGTGGAGATAGCAGAGCGGGCAGGTGCTTGCCTTGCCTGCAGCCAACCGCCTCAGATCCCCGATTCGGCATAGGCTCCCGAAGACCCACCAGGAGTGAGCCCTGAGCACAGCTGGGTATGGCCCCCCCCAAAAAATAAAAAAACCCAACAAAATAATTTTTTTAAAAATAAGGGCCACACCTGACAGTGCTGGGGGGTGGGGGGCGGCGGGGGATGAAGGTGTGTGCAGTGCCGGAGATCAAAATAGGGCCCTGCACAGTGGAGCAACATTCTCCCCTCTTGGGGGGTGAGTCTGTGGCCGTGGGCTCGGGCTCTGCTTATGGGGGTCGTTCCAAGCACCAGCGGCCCGCAGAGAGCCGGAGGGGAGAGGGCTGTGCTGCCCCAGCTCTCCCTTGGTCTCCCCAGAGAGGGCGGTGGACCTGACCCAGATGGGAACAAAGACACCCAGAGCTTGAGGCCACCGAGCAGTGGTCAGGTCAAATCCTGAGAGCATGGCCGGCCCCAGGACATGTGCCCCGGGAAAGGTCATGAGAAAGGACCCCCCTAGCTCCTTCTACCAGCTGTTGCTTTGCTTCTATGGGGCAGGGGATTGAACTCTTGTCCTCCCCCCTCCCCCCCCCCCCACACAGAAGACAAGAACTACATCCCCAGCTCACTGGGGCCCAATTCTTCCATTTGGGGTCCACATCCAAGGGTGCTCAGGGTTACTCCTGGCTGTGTTCGGGGAGCAATCCTGGGGTCTTGAGAGACCACATTGGGAGCCTTACCTGCTGTACCAGGGCCGCCGGCCTCTCACTTCTCCCCTATATGCCCATCTCAATAGGGGCCGTGACAACTCTGGGGCTTCAGTCACATGCTCTGCGCCCAGCCCTTGGCTCTCAGACGACACACAGAGCAGCAAGTCCTGTCCACTCTCCCTTCACACGAAGGCCTGGAGCCTAGCCCCTTGGCCTGTCAACACCCCAAACCAAGGCCAGCTGTGTCCGCTCTGGTCTATCCTCTAGTTCCTTTGAGAATGCGGTGCTTAGGGCTGACTCCTGGCTCTGCGCTCAGGAATCACTCTCGGGGGGGCCCAGGGGACCATGTGGGATATCAGGGATGGAACCTGGGTTGGCCACATGCAAGGCCAGTGCCCTCCCCGCTGAACTCTTCTGGCCCAGGGGCTCCAGTTATGAAACCAGGTAATAGAGGGAAAAGGAAAAAGGCCCCTGAAGAGGAAGAACCCCATGCCCAGCCCCATCGCCTGGAAGCCACTTCTTGGTGCGGTCAAGGCTCCACCAAAGACCATCTGGGGAACTGAGGCATGAGTGTGGGTGTTGCCCCAGCTCAGAGCCTGGCTCTCCCTGGGCATCAGCTCTCCTGAGCCCCACAAACGGTCTCCCATGTGGGGCGCTGCCTGCCTGATGATGCTCACCTTTCGGCTCCCGCATGTCGGTGATGATTGCATGCCCCATGCTGGGGACCAGCTGCTGTCCTTCTGAGCCAGGGGCCAAATAACGTGTGCGGAATTGGCGGGAATAGGTCTGGGGCACACTGAATACCCCCTGCCTAGGCTCAGAAGGAACTTGCGCACGGTGGAGGATAAGCATTTTTTTTTTCTTTTTGGGTCACACCTGGTGATGCCCAGGAGTCACTCCTGATTCTGCACTCAGGAATTACTCCTGGTGGTGCTTGGGGGACCATATGGGATGTTTCTAATCAAACCCGGGTTAGCTGTTTGCAGGGCAAATGCCCTACCGGCTGTGCTATTGCTCCAGCCCTGGGAAGAGCAGCCCACCAGCCTCTCTGATCAGCCTCGCTGCGTGTTGGGTGCCAACACCCTCTCCTGAGGCTGGTGCGCGCTCGAACAGACGTGACCTCGGGCTCTCGTATAGGGGCTGGGTCTTGCTCTCTGCCCGACAGGAGGCCAGGCGGTCTCCTGGCGGCCTGCTTCTGACAGCGGCACTCAGGCTCGGTGGCAGACCCTGGGCACCAAGGAGAGATGCTGCAGAGGCGAAGACCAGGGCCTCGCACACTGCACACGGACCACGCGAGAGCTGTGAGAGCTGCTCGACTTTATTCCCAACTTCTGCCATGGGAATGCGGCTCACCAGTGACCTGTGTAATGGAACATGAACACACACACACACACACACACACACACGCACTCACGCTTGGCATGGGTCTCCACTAAGGGAAAAGGGTGTCTAAGAAGCTTCCACTGGGGGATCCTAGCAGCTCCCCTTTCCCCAGTATCCCCCGCGTCACAGTCACACCCGCCCCTTGGTGTGCCCGAACTGCCAGGCTAAGCCCCATCCCCACTGTTTCCACAGCTGTCATGGAGTCCACTCGCCCAAAGGAGACCCTGGACTTCCCATCAGTGCCTTTGGCACTGCGTCCAGGCTGCCACCGAGGAACCGCTCACTCAAAGGGCTGGCATGGCTGTCTTGGAATACTGAGAAACGTGGACGGAATCCATTCTAGTACCTGAATATGCCAACGGCCCGGCACGATTTCCAGCTATTCCATTACAGATCTATTAGCCTCAATGTCTGCAAAAGCCTGAAAGCCTTGGGCGGGCCTGAGGAGGGAAGCAGGGCTCTCTCCACAGTGACACGCCTGCGGCCGCATAGCCGGGCCTGTGTGAGAGCGGTGGTCCTCCGTGTGAGGCTCCCATGACCTCCCAGGACAGCTAGCAAATACACATGCGGGTGTGAGTGACCACTGGCCTGGGCACTGGGCACGCAGGAACTGCTGGCTGCTCTCTTGACGTGAGGTTCGAGCAAGGGGGCTGGGGCCGCAGGCACTGAGCTGAAGCGCCCCACAAGTGGGAAGGAGAGCAGAGGCCACATGGACCACCTAGCTGCAGCCCCACCGTGCGGCCCCTCAGGACGAATGTGTTAGACGTGGGCTGAGATGTCAGGGCACGGGGTCTGGCAGAAAGGGCGCGGCCCTCAGAACTGGCAGGGTGACCGGCTGCCCCCAGAAATGCAGGTCAAGCAAGCATCTGTCTGGATAATAAAGGCTCCATCTTGTGGTGGGGGGTGGTGGGAGATGACGTCAGCTTCAGGCCAGCTGCTGGGCCCACCAGGAACCTGACGGGCAGGCCTGGGTCTCACAGAGCCCACAGTGGCAGGGCCGGTCAAGGTCACCCTGAGCCACAGACGAGCACCGCCCCCTCCCCGGCCCCAGGACAAGATAGAGCTGGACTCCCGGCCTGGGGATGAATGGGCCTTTCACTGGCCCTCACAATCAGGATCCTCTGGGAATTGTTGTTTGCTGTAACCCAATCTCTCAGCTCCTGGGCCTTCCAAGCTGGTCATGGAAATATCTTCAGTGGGAAGGAAAATATGGATGGGGGGGATGGGGAGGAGGAGAGAAAGCAGGTGAAGCTGAGACATGCGAAAGAAAGCCCGAGTTGGTGGAGAAAGAGAGAGAGAGAGAGAGAGAGAGAGAGAGAGAGAGAGAGAGAGAAGTCTTACAAGCCCGAAGGAAAGTGATAGTGTCAAACCACCTGCAGTTCACGAGGGTGAGCTACGTGGGGTCAGGAGAGTGTGGGTGCACCCGTGGGGCCAGGAAGGAGTGTTATTACCTAAGTAACTCCTGCGGGTTTTAGAGCCGTCAAGGGTATCTACAGGTCTTTCTAGGGATGACAGGCTGGAGGGAAGTCCTTCAAAACATTTCATTTGCCGGCCTGGAAAAAAATGTGTATCAGTGACTGATGTCTGTCTGCGGGAAGATCGCTGTCGAGGGGAGGAAGAACAGCCCCGGAGTTAGGGGTGTGGGAGTGGGAGATGTGAGGGGAAGCGAGGGGGAGATGGGGGCCCCCGAGGGCAGCGGGGAGAGGGGCTGAGGCCAAGCCAGGACCAGATGGACAGCGTGCAGACGGTGGGCCAGAGGAGGAGGCAGGCGGGCGGTGGGTGTCATGTGACAGGCGCTCCCGGAAGCCTGCTGAGGAAAGGCAGGGAAGCAAAGGAAAGGCGTTTCTCTCCCTGCGGGTCTGTTTTGGCCAAAGCAGCTGCTTCTGGGACATTTAATCTTCCTCTTCCGGGTGGCCTACGTCCATGGCTTTTGGAAGCATTTGAGGGATTTATGGATTAAAATACATATTCCATCTGGGAAGCACCGAGTATTCTCCTGAAGCCAGTGGCTGTCTCATGGGTGTCTCAGTGCGGTGGGTCCTCGGGGCTCTCCCCTGCTGCTCACAGCCTCGGGCCTCGCTTGGAGAAGGCACCTCCCAGTGTCACTTCCACAGCGCTGACTCTTGGGGTCTGCGCGCGCCTGCAGACCACCAGGAGATGCTTCTTGCCCCGATCCTATAATCTCAGTGTTAAAATAAATCCACTTTTGGGAGAGAGTGCAGCCGACCGTGGCCTTTTATGCAACTGACCCAGGTTCTACCCTGTAGGGTCCCCTGAGCCCACCAGGAGTGATCCCTGAGTGCAGAGCTAGGAGCTGGTCCTGAGCACTGCAGGTGTGGCCCCCAAACAAAACAAAAACAAACACATAAAACATATCTACTTTCACTTTGTTTTGTAAATGTATTTCCACAATGTATTTGAGGAGACAAGGAGCTCCCTGATGGACTGAGGGTATCCAGGGGGCCCGATTTCCAGCTCCAGGACCACATGGTTCCCCAAGAACTTCTAGACTGACTCCCCACCCAGGAATCGAACCAGGAATAGTTCCTGAGCTTCCCTAGGTGTGGCCCCAAGACAAAAAGTATTTGAGAGGAATAATATCACAGCCCGTGATAGCACGGCGGTAGGGCGTTTGCCTTGCACGCAGCCAACATGGCCGAGTTCGATTCCTCCGCCCCTCTCGGAGAGCCCGGCAAGCTACCGAGAGTATTTCGCCCGCACGGCAGAGCCTGGCAAGCTCCCCGTGACGTATTCGATATGCCAGACACAGTAACAACAAAGTCTCCAATGGAGACGTTACTGGGCCCGCTCGAGCAAATCGATGAACAACGGGAGGACCTCTGGTATAATAATTACTGGAGAGTCAAGAGGCGTTGATGAAATCAGGGTCTGGGGCTCGAACCAGACCACCCTGCTCTGTAACCTGGAGACTGAACTTTAATATAGGATGGAGCAGCTGACTCGGAGGCCCGCTGATCAGACCACGTGAGCTTTAATTTGAAGATGGAAGGAGAGAAAAGACTTGTGGGATACCTACATGCCTGGGAAGACAGACTGCTAGTCTGAAGGGCAGAAATGGGCGGGAGGTGCCGAGTGAATTCCCAAAAGAAATCCCTGAGCAATAGTACGGTGGGGAGGGTGCTTGCCTGTGCTTGCCTTGCATGCGACCAATCCAGGTTCCATCCCTGGCACCCCATATGGTCCCCTGAGCACTGCCAGGACAGATCCCTGAGCACAGAGTAGGAGTAACCCCTGAGAACTAGCAGATGTGGCCCCCAAACAAAAATGAATAAAAACAAGAAATCACGGCGCCTCCCTCCCTCCCTCCCTCCCTCCCTCCCTCCCTCCCTCCCTCCCTCCCTCCCTCCCTCCCTCCCTCCCTCCCTCCTTCCTTCCTTCCTTCCTTCCTTCCTTCCTTCCTTCCTTCCTTCCTTCCTGACTCCACATGCTTCTGACACCAACCGGACCTCACATGACCACTTCTGAAATTCTAAACTGCCCGACCTTTGGCCCTTCTGTACCCTGTTCCTCATCTCAGTGTATCTCCACCTTTCATGTCACTTCCCTGGCATCCTCTAGGGTCCCCCGAGCACCCACCAGGAGTAATTTCTGAGTGTGGAGCCATGAGTACTACCGGGTGCGGCCCCAGAACAGAACAACACAACAACTAAATGACTGAGAAGGGTGGGGCAAAACTCAGGGTATTAATTGCACTGCTTTAGGCAGTGAGAAGTGAACAGAAAGCAACGCAGCTGGTGTCGGTGACAGAGAAAGATGTCCAACCCCACCAAGTGTCATGCTCTGGCATCATTCCTCAACCTGTTAACGGGGACATCTTCTTCCTGGAGTTTTCCTAGCTGGTCAGAGCAGAAAGAAATCACCACTGTGTGTTTCTCAGTGGGTCCACACGACACAGCGCCTGGCAGGGTGGTCCCCAGAGAGGAAGCCCTTCTGGCACCGAGCAGGCACCCAGGCACCCACTCGCAGTGGGCACTGCCCGCCAAGCAACGGGCAGCGGGAAGCTGATCTCCCTGTGGAGGGATCACCAAATGCCCTGGCAGACTGGCCAGCGGGTCCAAAAGGCAGAGCTGACCCCTGGCCACCAAGTGCCCCTGGAAGGGGTCCCATCTCCCCCAGCCCAGACCTCGTGCTGTGCTTTGGCGGGATCAGACCACCCTGAGAATCAGATAAAAACAAATCTGTGTCCCTTAAGTGGGGAGGCATGGCCCCAGCTTCCACCTGCTCGCTCACAGAAAGATTTCAAATGTGTCCCGAGCACTCGGCGTGAGAGAAGGTGGCGACAGGGAGTTGGTTCTGCTCAAATGATGGATCATTTCCATCTCAAAGGGTTCACAGTGGGGACAAGAAAAGATAACTTACGTGACCTAAGTTCTTTATTTCCCTTTGGGGAGGCTGGGGATGGTCTGGACAGTGCACGGGGTTTACTCCTAGCCCAGTGCCAGGGGTCATTGTGCTTGGGCAACGGTATATGTTGGGGACCAGACCAGGGCTGACCGCATGCAAGACAAGTGCCTTAACCCCACCACTATCTCTCCGGCTCCAATAACCTAAGTTGGTGAGAAACAAAGGACCTGGTTAAATCCGAGAGACTGTGATTTCCACAGGTTTTCTCTGGGGATCCCTGAGAGGGGAAGAGGCTGTTCCCTGCCCCTGGGAGCACCGTCCACACTCCGACCCATGCAAGCCATCAACGGTTCCTGCACATTTTGTTGGCCCTGAGTGCACACTGGGCCTCCTGCTGCTAGCCCTGTCTGACAGGAGAGGACTGTCCAGGTATGCAGAGGACCAGGAGGCCAAGGCCAGGCTGCAGGCTGGGGAAAAGCAGAGGACGGGGAGAGGATACAGATCCTGGGGTTTGGAAAGCATTTTTTTTTGGCGTGGGTGGTCACACCTGGTGATGCTCAGGGGTTACTCTTGGCTTTGCACTCAGGAATTACTCCTGGCTGTGCTGGGCGGACCATATGGGATGGTGGGAATCGAACCCGGTTGGCCTACCCGCTGTTCTATCGTCCTAGTCCCTGGAAAGCATTTTAATTTAACTGATTCATTTATATTTTGGGTGCTGGGAACCCAGGGCCTCACACATGCAAAGCAAACTCTCCACCGACAGGAAAAGCTTCTTCAGTGCTACACGGACAAGGCTCCCAGGTTAAGTCACATGGCTGGCAGGCGTTGTCCCCGAAACGTGCAGGCAAGTCCCTTTTCCCTGTCGACAAGGCCCAAGCGGCCACCTCACGGCTTCTGCGGGCAGTTTAAGGCTCTTGGAGGGGTTCAGGTCAGTCCCTAAACTCAGGTACTAAGGCTGGCCGTGTGATGGCCAGTGCGGTGCCCCTAGGACTGGCGTGATGGGGGAACTGGGTCTTTTGGGTTCCATGGGCCCCCACACTCCTGGCACAGGGCAGGGGCGAGCAGCCCAGGACAGGAGGGTCTCATGGCGGGTGCCGCCCAGTCCCCCGAGACAGACTGCTCTGGCGTTTCTTCTCCCCCAGACTGGTTCCTCTGCTGTCCCGGCCCTCACTGAGAAACTTTCTCAGCCCCTGACAAGAGTCCATTGGGTGGGGCAGAAGCGATGGGACAGCGGGGAGGGCGTTTGTTTGCCTTGCACAAGGCTGACCAGGGTTCGATCCCTGGCGTCCCATAGGGTCCCCCAAGCCCTGCTAAGAGTAATTCCAGAGTGCAGAGCCAGGAGGAAACCCTGAGCCTCTCCGGGTGTGACCCCAAAAGAAAACAACACACAAAGCGGGTGCCCACAGGCCCCTCTGATCACAAGGTGGGTGCTGGCCCTTTAGAACGGCGCTGCCACCTCCCACTGTCCTCAGATCAAACAGAAGCTCTGAAAGCCCAGCTCTGCTCGGAAACTAAACGGCAGGGTAGGGGGCTCGGGCTTGCAAATAAAAGAGGTTGGGTGTCATTGTAACGTCGCTGGCGTCTGAGCCGACAAAGCCAAGGGGTGCGGTGTCTGTGCGGGGCCCGCTCCCGGCCTGACCGACTGCCAGAGAAAGGGGCTTTGTGAGGGGAGCAGGTGTGCAGCGGGGGCCGGGGGAGGAGTGCTGCCCCCATCCCACCCGAGTCTCCCCTCCAGCTGGTACCCTGCTGCGGGCTGGAGGGTGGAGAGCGCACCCCCTGAAAGGACCCGCGTGTGGGCCGCTGCCAGGCCCTGCAAATTGTGTCCGTAGTCAGCGAACGCTGAGTCGGGAGGCAAGCCTCTGCAAGGTAACCGAGAGCCAGCCACTGAGCTAATGGCGCTGCCTTCGGAATCCGAAGGAACACATGAAGAGAGGAAAGTCCCCTTCACCGAGGAGAGCAAATCTCCTGTCCAGGGAGTTAACAGCAGCGAGTCCAATCACACGGGTCTTAAGGGTCTTAAGATTAGTACTCTGGGGGCTGGAGTGATAGCAACGCCGATAGGGCGTTTGCCTTGCACGCGGCCGACCCGGGTTCAATTCCCAGAATCCCATATGGTCCCCCGAGCACCGCCAGGAGTAATTCCTGAGTGCATGAGCCAGGAATAACCCCTGTGCAATGCCGGGTG